CACATTCTTGTAGTGTAGCTTTTGCCTTTTATCTCCTAACCTATGCCAAGCTCTTTGTGGATTGTTCATTATTAACTGAATTCTGCAGCTAAATTTGTCCACAGAATGAAGTAGTCGGTCATCAGCCTTATACTCAAATTCCTATGTACAACTGCAGGACTTCAGTTCTTAAGGAAATTGACTTTGTTCTTCTGTTCTTTTTTGCCTCTTCACTAACCTCTTATTATTATTCTAGTTATCCCATCAAATCGTGGAAAGGGTGGGTGGGGGGGGGGGAACTGAAGTAAGAATCTTCTGTATGCTTTTTCTAATGTGTTGCGTAAGCTGATCTTCATTTCTTCACGTCTAATCTTCTTCTAATGCTTTTTCTTCATCTCTTCTTGTTACTCCGACAGCTCTTCTCAGATATCTCATCTCTGCTGTTATGGTTTTACTCTCATTAACCGCAGTAAGGGTCCACAAAGAGCAGTATAAAGTTGGCCAAAAAATAGTTCTTATCAGATCTGCCTTGGCAGACAAAGCGATCTTTCTACGTGTCAAAATAGGTGTTAGCTGTCCCAGTAGCCGAGTTTTTTTCTTTCTCCTATCACACAGCTGATTTCTTTATCTATTCTTCTTTCTGATGTGAAAACTGACCCTACATATCTCAATTTGCTTGCTATTTTAACCTCAGTTACTAACTAACGGCCATAATTCTGGGTTCCCCCCCCCCCCCCCCATTTCCAACAGCTCCCTCTAAGTTCTCTCCATATTTTTCAAATCTATTATGTTCTATTTCTCTTTTCCGCCTCACATAGATCTCCTTCTATTGCTTTTGTCCTGTGAGTTAGAAGAATATTCTAGTCAAACCATTCTCAAGTTTCTTAATGTGTGTCCTATGCAGTGCAGGCATCTTTTTCTCACCTCTCAAATTTGGTTCCAGGCACAATAAAATATATATCTCATGTTTTCTATCGAAGGTAAAATAAAAGAACCCTTTTATGTGCTATTAGCCAATCAGGCGTATGGAGCTAGATCCAAACTTGTATAGACCAACTGGCACTGGATGGGTGACATGGCTGACGTACTATCAGATTTACTGAGGGGTTAAACATGTTTTTAAATACAACAACAAATCTAAAGATATAGAGGTACAAATTTTATAAAAAATACTAAAGATACTCATAAGTATAATTACTATACAGGTGAAAGCACACATTAACAATGAAATGCTATATGGCACTGAATATTAGCTTGGTTTTTTCCTCTGAATATATAGAAGTATCTTTTACAGGCATACATTTCTTCTTCTTTTTCTTCACGTTCACTGGCTGTAAACTCTGATAGTTTGGTCATTCGTCCACTTCTGGACTTTATTCTTGTTCTAGAACCGTATTTGGTTTTCCTCACATTTTTCGCCCCTGAAAGAGAGTGACTTTCCCTCCCCATTCCTGCCTCGTTGTGTCCCAGGGCAGGTCCTACGTTGGGAGAGGTGTCACGCCTAGTGAGCGACCAGTAACATGTTGCATTTTACTTGTTGTCAGTGGCCAGCGATATCGGGTATTCTATTTTTCCACCAGGATGTGAGCGCTTTTAATGGCCCTAAACATGAAGAACTGGCCCTAACCATGCATGCAGCCTGGGTCACGCGACTGTATGCAGCATATATTATAAGCTGCATGCAGTCGTGGCAGGTAGGCTGCACTTTCTCGTGGGATGTAGGCTGCACTCTCTTGTGGGACGTAGGCTGAGGCTGTGGGGTAGGGGGAGTTGAGGTTGGGGCTAGATCTAGATGTTCTGGGGCCACTCCCAGACGTTTTGCTGTAAAAAGTATCATATGCAGTTCGGTCTCGCTGCATTCTCATTAGATGGCCAAATCATTTCATTAAGGTGAATACAGAAATGTATAATGTATCAGAGGGCTAGGTTGGGGCTGAGATTAAAGATGTTCTGGGGCCACTCCCAGACGTTTTGCTGTAAAAAGTCTCATATGCAGTTCGGTCTCGCTGCATTCTCATTAGATGGCCAAATCATTTCATGAAGGTGAATACAGAAATGTATAATGTATCAGAGGTTCCCAGCTAGCTAACAATTGCAGACCCCTTGTAGTTTTGAAGGGCTGAGTCTTAGTAAAGAACTTATTGTAATTTATCAATATTAGCTTTGCAAAAAGGATTGCATTCTAAAGTTGAGGGTGTTTTGTAACAAATATCGTGGGCTCCTCAAATAATTCCATGGACCCCTGGAGTCATCAAATGAAAACCAATGACTAACTCATCAAAAATATTTTTGCAAATTCCAGTGAAAGAGGATGTGTAGATAAGGTTGCAAAGAAAAACAACCTCTCCGTTCTGAAGAAAATCAACTAATTGCATAAGAAAGAAGCTCTTCGTTATAAATTCACAAGATAAAAAACGCAACAGGAGAATTTAAACATCAAAAATACAAAAACCAAAAAAATTTACGAAGAAAAAAACTAATGCTACAAATAGAATGGAAACAAGATTCTAAAAATAAACAACATGACTTACTGAGGCCATATATTCCACCGCCAGACAGAAGCAAGATTACAAAGTAAACAACAATATGCAAATGAAAGAATATGATTCTATATGAAAGGCAAGTCACACGCATTCCTTCAGACGACCTTTTTTGTACTCAAGTGCAGCCAGCAAAACCCACGCTGCCCTTTAAGAACTACACAGTGTGGTTTGCAACAAGTATTATTTACTGAAGTTTCAATAGTTAAATATTACTTTTATGGTCGAATACAATATTTGTACCTATGTTTGTGACCAACTATTTAATGAGCAGCCTAAAAAAAAATGACATATATTAATAATCTGGCCACTAAACACCTGTCATTTCGACATGCCTGCTACAGGGAACATGCCTGCTACAGGGAACATGCCTGCTACAGGGAACATGCCTGCTACAGGGAACATCAGAACAAAAGTAATCTTTACAGTCAAGTAACAACAATTTCTGGTTGCAATAACACAGCCATATAAACAAATATTTATGTTTATAAAAACCGCCTGTGTTTACCACTTGTAGAGCAGTATCTTATGGGAGGAAAAATAAAAAGGGCCGGGGCGGAGGGAGTCCTGGCTGAAGACTGAAGGTCACACGGCTGGTGTAGTTGCCAAGTATGGTGCAGGTTAGGATTTTTATTTCTGCCATCAGCAACAACAAAAAAAGGGTCCCATCCCTTACCCAGGATTGAATCTGGGTCTCCTGCATGACACAGCTCAGTGCTCTAGCCACTCAATCAGCCGCTCCACTTTAACAACAGTCAAGTCAGAGGCTGAGGACATTTCTGGTACCTCCATCTCATATATGAGATTACGTGTTTGGTCTCGAGTAAAACTCAAAAAAAAAAAAACTACACAACTACAAAAACTTGTCCCTATTGCCCTATCTTCACCACAGGAAAGGAGATCTTCCAACATGGGCTACATGGCTAGTGCAGCTGCCACAGGTTAGGATGATATTTTAGTCAAACTCAGGTACAGTTCAAAAAATATCTGAGCCTCTCACTATGTATCAATGACTTGGCCAAGCAGCCTTTACTGCTCAGTACGAACAAAAGCTTGGTAGGCAGGTTATAATGAAAGCAAACAAACAAACAAGCTAATTTTTAACCCCTAAAAAAATACATGACATTTGTTTACAACAACAACAACAAATGTATTTCTAAAATAACATTTGCTTAGAGATGTTAACAATAAAACTAACTCTTTCCGCACCATGCATATTCACTCAGTGTTCATTGGGTAAATCCAAAGACAGTAAACATCTTTCTGACTACGAGGAAGCTACAAATTAAAACGTTAAAAGTGTGACAGAAATTATGATAACCATAACGTTGTATTGGAACGTGTCAATATTGTTGCTACGGATTTCATGAGTACATCAAGGTACAGGCGAACAGGGTGATGACATAACGACAGTTTAAAGATGGTCGCCCCACTTTTGACATGCACCAAAGAGGAGCAGCCTTCTTGTTATCCTTTTTTTTTTAAAATCAGTAAAGGGGTGAAACCTGTAGAAATTCATTGGTGAATGAAGGTTCAGTATGGTGATGCATGCCCTCTGGTCTAGCAAGTGTAAGAAAGGAGCAGGAAGTTAAAAACTGCATGACTTCTGTGACAGAAGAGGTCAGACAAATTAAGCAGTGACCCTAGAGTTGATTGCAGCTGGCAAAGGCCTCAGACAGAAAAAGCGCCGACAGACTGTAAGTGATCTTACTGCACATCTTGACATAGTTAAGGTTCAGTACATAACATCACCCGTGCTAACATATTTAAAATATCATTATGACACCGCTGTGTTTTTGTCTGCAGTCATTTGCCTAACACTCTTGACATCCTTAATACTGACTGACAGGTTACAAGACAATTCCATGGCTATTGTCATTTCCATCCCACTTTTACCAAACATCAAGGAGAACTGGCTCACAAACAGCATTCACTCCAGAAAGCTGAGGTATTCTGACCATGTTAAACGTCACGGTGGCTGGAGAGAATGGTGATTTGGTGAAAAAGGAAAGGAAAGGGGGGGGGGGGGTGGTCAAGCAAACTGAAAACTAAGTTTATTTATAATTGTAATAGTCTGTCTGTTATACTAACTTTTCTCCAGTTTGATTATTTAAAAAAAATTTTTTTTAAATAGCCAAGGATGTTCTGTTATTTGACACTTTAATTTACAATTTATGGAGATGGTTTCTTCTCCAAGGTCTTGTTAAAAATGCTCAGGATTTTTTCTCCTCAATGATCTCCTATTTTTAAGTCTGGGGAAGGGGGGAGGGATCTTTACACATATTCAAGGGGATGCTACATAAAAAAAAAAGGGAAGAAAACCACTGCCCTACACCATCTCAGAACAGAAGGAGTTAAAATAATCACAGACTGGTATCAAAAAGAGCTAAACACGCGAACGTAACTTGTCAGTAACATAATTAAAACTCTGCTTCGATGAGAAACAAGTAAATAATTGTTACAAAGGTGTCAATTTGTTAACTAGGATGAGAGCATTCTAGAAATGTCCACGTCAAACAGATCACAGGCACCTTCCGTATCATTCAAGTTGAAGTAGTAGTCTCTGCCACTGGGAGGTGGACTCAGCGATAACAGCGGCGTCAGCGCTGGATGACAAATAAATAAAATCAGGGTCAGCACCTAATGACAAATGAATAAAATCAGCACTGGATGACAAAAAAATAAGATCAGGGGCTGAGCTGGATGACAAATAAATAAGATCAGGGGAAGAGCTGGATGACAAATAAATAAGATCAGGGGAAGAGCTGGATGACAAATAAATAAGATCAGGGGAAGAGCTGGATGACAAATAAATAAGATCAGGGGCAGTGCTGGATGACAAATAAATAAGATCAGGGGCAGAGCTGGATGACAAATAAATAAGATCAGGGGAAGAGCTGGATGACAAATAAATCAAATCAGTGCTGGATGACAAATAAATCAAATCAGTGCCAGATGACAAATAAATAAGATCAGTGGCAGAGCTGGATGACAAATAAATCAAATCAGGGGCAGAGCTGGATGACAAATAAGTCAAATCAGAGGCAGAGCTGGATGACAAATAAATCAAATCAGTGCTGGATGACAAATAAATAAGATCAGGGGCAGAGCTGGATGACAAATAAATAAAATCAGGGGCAGAGCTGGATGACAAATAAATCAAATCAGGGGCAGAGCTGGATGACAAATAAATAAGATCAGGGGAAGAGCTGGATGACAAATAAATCAAATCAGGGGCAGAGCTGGATGACAAATAAATCAAATCAGGGGCAGAGCTGGATGACAAATAAATCAAATCAGGGGCAGTGCTGGATGACAAATAAATAAGATCAGGGGAAGAGCTGGATGACAAATACATAAGATCAGGGGAAGAGCAGGATGACAAATAAATAAGATCAGGGGCGGTGCAGGATGACAAATAAATAAAATCGGGGCCAGAAAGAAACAGAAGAAGCAGCAGCAGCAGAAAAAGAAGAAGATAATGAGAAGAAAAGGGGGAGAAAAGTAGAAGGAGAAGAAGAGAAGGAGGAGGAGAAAAGATAAAAGAGAAGAGGAGGAGGAAAAAAGAAGGAGAAGGAGAAGTGGAGGGGGAGAAAAGAAGGAGAAAGAGAAGAAGAAGTGGTAGAAGAAGAATAAGGAAATCTGGATCTACGTCCAACAATATAATTAAACAAACAAGATTAACAATAAAAAAAAAATCAGCTACAGGCTGGTACTCACTATCTGCTGACATCAGTTGTTCTAAATCCAGCAACTCCCCTGACAGATCTGTCATAGAAACATACAAATGATCAGTCAGTATTTCATTACACTTAAAAAAAAAAAAAAAATGTGTTTTGGACACCCTGTTGGTTTGCAAAGGATCATGACTGAAGCTATGACTAATAAACTGAAAACAACCATTCGAAGGAAAATGTGCATAATGGAGGGAATGAGATGGTATGACAGTATATGGACAGTATTAACAGTACTACTGTGCCGCTGTATGCAGCAGACTCATGGGAAAACAAATAAAATAATTGCTAATAAACTACAAACCTTCATTATCTGGTGCCTGTGTACAATAGAGGCAATTATACTGTGGAACTTTGGGAGAGAACTAAACAAGTTCCAGTGAATTAAGAGGTTTAGAAAAGATGCTGGTGTTGGATATGACATACACAGAGAAACCTGAGAACAATATAAATAGAATGTCTTTATCCTGAACCTTACAGGGGCATAGAAATAAATAATTAAAAAACGAATAAAAGAAAAAGATGGATCATGGTCAATGCACACACATATATGTATAAAGGTTCCAGTTCCATTCCACAAATCATACAAAAAAGAATACTGGCATATACACAAATAAAAGCAGTAATGTGCATTAACCCTTTCGCGCCCGAAGATCCACACACAAAATCCAAGAACCTGTAACTTGCCAGAAATTTTTCATTTTGCGCGATTCTGAAGAAATTATAATTAATTCCTATTGAACCAATGTTTCCCCGTTGTGAATTTAAACCAAGAAGACACAAACAATAGACTGCACAATTTATTGCCTGGCATATTTCACTCCATCTCCTCACGTGCATACTACAGTAACAATTGATTAAACTGAAGATTTAAAGGTAACCGTAAGGAGACGACCATTTCTTTCTGTCTGCAAAGTTCTGGTTTCAACCGGCTGATCACTGACGCTTCTGCATATCAGAGTAATCTACGGTTAGCCGAATTGTAAATAATTCAAAATGCATCATCCTTGTTTACAATGTGCCCGGAAGTTAGAATATGGCAGGCAATTGCTGATGATGGATTTGGTCGACCAGTCACCTGATTCACTGTTGTTGAGGTGTTAGAGTTTTGCGTTACTTTTACCACCCATAGTGGAATATGTTCAGCAACCCGTTTCTCCAGTCGTGACAAATAACAGTCCTGAAATCTGACTAGGGAGGTACTGCAGGAATCAGATACCTGCTATCGTAGATGCTGAGATTAGGGCACTGACTGATCAGCATTCATGCCTAGAAGACATCATCATTAACACAGAAGGGTCCATGAAGTGCTGATCAAGATCAGCATGGGCATACACAGCACAAAGGATGGGGGAAACAATCAAAGAGGATAGCAGCGCTTACCAGACAACTATGTCAAGTATGACCATGGAGATAACTGCTCCTTCCAGAGCATTCACATGGGTATCAGAACAAACGGCTACACATGCGGTAATCATTTCAGACTCTATGAATATACTTCAGAAAATCACTACAGGTAGTCTACACTCTGAATGGGTAGAAAACATTTGAAAGTCGCAGTTAACCTCCATCATCTGGATCTACACACCTGGACACGCAGGAGTAAATGGTAACGAAAGAGCTGACCAGCTGGCAAGTAATGCACTAACGTAAACGGGAAGAAGCAGGGCAAAGATTGATTTCATCAACCTTGTACGGGCTAGGTTAGGGGATAATGGCAAATCTCTGGCACTAAAAAGACTGTGTGACCAAGTAGTTAACTTTTGTAAAGCATGTCTATGCTGTCTTCAAGGTAAAGACAGGAGATATTATAATACCACTTTCTTATGGGAACAATTAGCAGAGGTACCATGGAGTGGCTGCTGCATTTAAGGACTCATCACGTACAATGTTGATTATGATGACATAACATAACAAGTCCTGAAATGCACTTAGCTGAAAACTGGTTTTTGGTAGGGCATATGATGATGATGATGGTGGTGGTGGTGGTGATGTTGCCAGTTTCATACCAACCATCCTTAATCATCTCTGGGAATCATCTTACTACAGTCAGGGTAAGTTACAGTACTATTCTTTGCTTTCCTTATGATCTCACTAACACAATGCATAGGGGTTCATAGCAAAAGTGAATGCACATCATTGAGTTCAGCAAAGACCTGTAAACGATACCACAACATCTAGTGTGAGAACAGAGGGGCAGGCAGTCACTGCATTGCAGCCTTCTGCCTGCTTGAGAACCAGATATACACTCACACATCATAACTGTCACTGACTCACGGAGCATGTTGTGAAAGGTGGAGATGGGTATGCTTTGTACAGTGTGGCAAGCATTGCTTCAGAGGTCCCAAGTAGCTAATGTCATTTGGATATTTTCTCCAGGGTCTGCCGGTGTGTTGGGAAATGAACAGGCAGGCAGACTGGCTGGATGTGCACCACTTGGGGGGTGAACTGATGCATGACAAGCCAGATGCTGTAAGGTTCTTGTGGGAGGGGTGGATGGTGCACAGGCACAAACAGATCATCATGGTTTGACAAGAATGGCGCTGCGAGGAGTGTCCAAAGGATCTGACTGACACACGCCACTTAGGGAAAAGATCAGACGGATATACAATCAGACTTACTGGTGCCATCAGAACTGGAACTCTGTGTCAGCTGCTAAAGATGGGGGACAGAGCTCTAATGGGAAAGTCCTGTGTGGCGTGATAAGGATTCTAAACTCATCAATTCAGTGACATGTTTATAAACGACAGCCAACACATACCCATGTCTCCTTTATCAAACAGCATATCAGTGCTGAACATGCCTAGGCCGAAATCTGAGGACACCGGCGTCGTTGATGCTGAACTTGTGGAAGATGTGGAGGCTGAGGATAAAAACAGTTTTCAGTACATAACTAAAGTTGAAGAAATAAGTCACTATCAACTTCCACTTGTGCTGTTATGAACCGCGGGGTACACTAGGTTGTTTTGTGCTGTTATGCACCGCAGGGTACACTAGGTTGTTTTGTGCTGTTATGCACCGCGGGGTACAACAGGTTGTTTTGTGCTGTTATGCGCCGCGGGGTACAACAGGTTGTTTTGTTCTGTTATGCGCCGCGGGGTACAACAGGTTGTTTTGTGCTGTTATGCACCGCGGGGTACACTAGGTTGTTTTGTGCTGTTATGCACCGCGGGGTACACTAGGTTGTTTTGTGCTGTTATGCACCGCGGGGTACAACAGGTTGTTTTATGCTGTTATGCACCGCGGGGTACACTAGGTTGTTTTGTGCTGTTATGCACCGCAGGGTACACTAGGTTGTTTTGTGCTGTTATGCACCGCAGGGTACAACAGGTTGTTTTGTGCTGTTATGCACCGCATTGCCTGCAGATCAGTTTTACAGATCTGACTTACGTGTGTGCAGGCTGTTAGCTCCTTGCCTCTCAGGTAGATCTACTACGACCTTGAAGAATGCCTAATTCAGTCGAATTCTGTGTCATACTTGCTGGGAGGCAGTGGGTCTATTCTTGTTTTCCCCAAATGGAGCTTCAGAAAATACATGGGGTGAGGATGGAATTCAGTCCAGCTTTGATACTCTTCAACGTTCATTTTAGATGTTTTTTTTTATGGACATCCTTGCTTACTCTAATCATTTATTTCCCATTTTAGCGCCTGCTTGGTGATTCTCTGCTTGTTTCTTCTCCGGATGTGCTCAATTTACCATCATCTTCTTTCTCTTACAACTGTCTGTTGCCCAGACATCTGTGATTGTTTTTGAGCTAAGCAGCGTGCATGCAGTGTGGATGCAGAATGTCTTTAATGTCAATCCATCACCTCCTTGGGGATCATCTCGCTTTTACATCATATTTTTTTTAGGTGAAGCAGCCGTTTCCTGTGTTGCTAGTGATTCCTGCTGAAACGAGACAATCACATCTTCTGACCTTTTACTTCTCGATGAATTTGTAACAGATAATTTTCAGAATTCTCCTGGAATTGTCTGGGCAGGGCAGGAAATAAGACGAGGAAGTGAAGTGGCCACCTTACTTCATATGTTATTACCTAGAATACATGACAGCCTGACATTTCACAGCCCAACAAAATAGTTGCAATCAACTCTGGGGTCACTACTGGGTGTGCCTGATGGTCTGCCACAGAAGTCACACCCTTTTGAAAACTTCCTACTCTACTCATACACTTGTCTGATGACAGACATGCATCAACATACTGGACCTTTATGTGCTGATAAATATAGGTTTCACCCCTACATTGATTAGAAGAAAGAAAAAAAAATAAAAAAGAGCTGCTCCTCTTTGGTGCATGTCAAAAATGAGGTGGCCATCTATAAACTGTCATTAACGTGTTTGTCTCCACCATGTCATAAGCTTAACACTCTTAATAATACTGAGAGGTTACAAGACAATGAGTCAGTGTCTGTGGCTTAGGCGTTGCCGGGTTCAATCCCAGCTACAGGCCTTGCATTGGTTTCGACAGTGGTATCGCAAAGGCGTCCGTCCAGAAAGAAATAGCAAACTACTGGATGTAAATCCGCCTAAACAAACCACAACAGCCGAAGAATGCTGGGTTGTAAAGGCTACTGTAATTTATATTACAGTTTTAAAGGTTTGCATTTAAAGCCCCCTAGAAAGCTTGCATTATCTCAGACAACACTGCAGATGCACAAAACCTTTTCACAGCCCAGTGAAAGCAACTATTATCTCAAAGACAACATTACAGATATACACAACCTTTTCACAGAGCAATGGAAGCTACTGTTATCTCACATACAACACTTCAAATAAAGACAACCTGTTTAAAGTCAGCTGCACTCAAGACATTACCATATGTGCACTGTCCTCTTCTTCAGCAGAAAAAGCAGAATTCCCAAGCTGATTTTACAAATGGCAGCCTGAATAAAAATTCTGCCCTTTGTCACTATATGTTGAGGGTAATAAGATTGCTCATTTCTCACCAAACTGCTCATTCCCCCACTAAACTGCTCATTCCCTACTAAACTGCTCATTCCCTACTAAACTGCTCATTCCTCACTAAACTGCTCATTCCCCACTAAACTGCTCATTCACCACTTAACAGCTCATTCCCCACTAAACTGCTCATTCCCCACTAAATTGCTAATTCCCCATTAAACTACTCATTCCCCACTATATCAACTGCTTAAGGTGCACTTAAAAAATGTGAAAAACTAAACCAACACTCACGCTGATTTAGCAGAGTATCTGTTGTGTTCTTCCGTGGTGATGATCGGGTGGCCATGCGGGTCGGCGGCTCTATAACAGTTGCAGTCTGAGATTGTTTCAGTGGCGTCTTTACGGGAGATCGCTGATATTTGTAGACAAGAAAAAATGAAACAAAGTTCGACGGTATTACTTAAATTGTGTAAATCATCATCATCACGTGGCGCAGGGCAATTCAACTAAATTTACTCAGGGGGCCAACCAACATTTTGAAAATTAGAATCATTACGGGTCAGAGGTCAGAACATAGAAAGATCAATATAATACAACTGGCAAAGATCCGTTAGCCGCTTTCAAGGCTTCTGCTGGCCAGATGTAGCCCGCAGGCCATCAGCTGAATAGCCCAGATGTAGCAGATCCTTTGCAGAACATCTCTCTCTCTCTCTCATCACAGCCTGGCTAAATATAAGAAAAAAAAAGTCTCTTGCCAGACCTCCTGCCCCATGCATGTTGCTACCCAAGGTGACTCTTACTTCCTGTGCCCATCTTTGTGCTGGATGGAACCCCGACCATCATGGCTTCTGCTATTATTAATTTCTTCAATCTGCTATGGCGCTTGATATGGCCAAACTAATTCAGACAAGATGCTGTTTACTATCCAGTTTTCCCTGAAGGTCAGATTTTTAAGGGTGTCAGTATTTCTTTTCTTCAAAATCAATGGTAATCTGAGAATCTTTCTATGGCATTTCAGTTCAAGAGTCCCTTTTTTCTTCCTTAATGAAAGCTACCTGAAAGATGCATGACCTTGATCTCCTTGCGGGTGCTTAACAAAAGGCTTTCAATGCTTTTAATCTTTTCATTGCTATAGTTACCCTTCTTCTGACTTCTATTGAACATTCCATTCCTGTTATTATAAAGCCTAGATGTTAAATATTTGAGACAATTTCAATTTCTTCATCACATACTGTTATATTTGTGTGAAAGGTATTTTGTCTGAGCCCATTATTTTTATTTTCTTAAAAATTCAAGAATAGACATTGATCTTCACTGTCTTTTTGAACAGATAAGATTAAATGTTCTATTCCATTTAGACTGTTTGAAAGGAGGATTGCATCATCTGCATAGTGAAGTTTCAGAATAGGGTTTCCGCCCATTATGTAACATAACTGTCACATATCTGGTTGGTCCTTCTTGATATTTCTCATTGTGCTTTCTGCATAGATATTAAATAGGTATGGTGAGAGAATGCATCTCTGCTTCACTCCCTTTTGCACCTTGAACCAATCTGATGTTTCTCCATCTACCCTGATGACTGTTTCTTGTTCATGAATGAACCACATGTGCTGGAAACCTCATACTTCTCCCGATACTCCACAACTTCTGAAGCTGGACACACACACACACTGTCTCAAAAAATATGAACTAATTAAACACTAAAAAGACCCAAAAAAGGGAAAACCTAGACTCAAAAGGGCTATCCTCTGAATAACGGTCCTAAATTATCGAGGTGGAAAATATACCCTAACAGGGCCTCAGTCACGTGTCAATTGCGCACTTCCGGGGACTATAACGCCACCGCCGAATTGCGAACTTCCGAGGACTATACCGCCAAAAGTATCCCCCAGGCTGATTCCCAGCCATCTAGTTTAGCCCCAATCCACGCCACGTGAGGGGATACTCTTGGTTGTGGTGGAAGTCGCAGGAAGTGCACAATTTAAGACGACGGAAGTGCGCAATTGACACGTGACTGAGGCCCTGTTAGGGTATTTTTCTGCCTCAATAATTTAGGACCGTTATTCGGAGGATAGCCCTCAAAAGCATTTTTTTTTTTTAAAAATCCTTAAGAAGCATCGAAGTCAATAACAAAGTACATGTAGGAACAAGTATATGAAAAATAGAGCACCTTACACTATGGAAAAGGAAACAAATGAGGATAGGTGGTATCACGAATACAGCTACCTGATTATAACCCCCCAAAAAACTCCTATAAATAATGACCCCAATTATAACCTTACTGAGGTTGAACAGAGTAATCTTTATAGAAAAAAAAAATACTAAATCAAACATACATCAATAACCAATAGCAGAATAATCATGAATCAACTGTGCTATACATCTTCAATCAGTGTATCAAAACACTATAACTATTTGAAAAATACAGCAGAAATCAGCTGTATGATAAGGGCTCGGCTGTTCTTCAGAATCAACTGTACTGCAGAATAAAAACTTCATACATCAACACTCAATCATAATATAAATCAATATAAATTGTACTATGAATCAGGAATCTATACATCAGTTGTACTATGAATCAGGAATCTATACATCAGTTGTACTATGGATCATGAATCTCCAATTCAATTCATAAACCTAAGAAAAACATGATACGCAGAGAATCAAATGAAATCAGGAAATTATGACATACAGAATCAAGTGATAGCAGAAAACTATGAAACATGAGGAGTCAATTAAATCAGGAAACTATGACACACAGAGAATCAATGATACCAGCAAACTATGACACACATGGAATCAATAAAATCAAGAAACCATGATGCATAAGGAATCAATTAAATCAGGAAACCACAACACACGGGGAATCATTGAGATCAGAAAATTATGACAAATAAGGAATCAATGAAATCAGGAAACTAAGACACACAAGGAATCAATGAAATCAGGAAACTAAGACACACAAGGAATCAATGAAATCAGGAAACTAAGACACACAAGGGATCAGTGAAATCAGGAAACTATGACACACAAGGAATCAATGAAATCAGGAAACTATGACACATAAGGAATTAATGAAATCAGGAAACTATGACACATAAGGAATTAATGAAATCAGGAAACTATGACACACAAGGAATTAATGAAATCAGGAAACTATGACACACAAGGAATCAATGAAATCAGGAAACTATGACACATAAGGAATTAATGAAATCAGGAAACTATGACACACAAGGAATTAATGAAATCAGGAAACTATGACACACAAGGAATCAATGAAATCAGGAAACTATGACACACAAGGAATCAATGGAATATGACACACAAGGAATCAATGAAATCAGGAAACTATGACACACAAGGAATCAATGAAATCAGGAAACTATGACACACAAGGAATCAATGAAATCAGGAAACTAAGACACACAAGGAATCAATGAAATCAGGAAACTATGACACATAAGGAATTAATGAAATCAGGAAACTATGACACACAAGGAATTAATGAAATCAGGAAACTATGACACACAAGGAATCAATGAAATCAGGAAACTATGACACACAAGGAATCAATGAAATCAGGAAACTATGACACACAAGGAATCAATGAAATCAGGAAACTATGACACACAAGGAATCAATGAAATCAGGAAACTATGACACACAAGGAATCAGTGAAATCAGGAAACTATGACACACAAGGAATCAGTGAAATCAGGAAACTATGACACACAAGGGATCAGTCAAAACAGGAAACTATGATACACAAGGAATCAGTGAAATCAGGAAACTATGACACACAAGGGATCAGTCAAAACAGGAAACTATGACACACAAGGAATCAGTGAAATCAGGAAACTATGACACACAAGGAATCAGTCAAAACAGGAAACTATGACACACAAGGAATCAGTGAAATCAGGAAACTATGACACACACCTAGTGCCTATAAAGGACGAGAAGCAAACCTATCAAGACTGGCTGTTCCATACATCAGAAATCAACTTCATGTCATAACAAGAAACTTCAATGAAAAAGTAATCAATCTACACCCACACATCCGTTCTGTTCTTGTGTATTCACAAGTAAAAGGGTGGTTGGAAATTTAGGTTGCAATTTACAGCTGGACTGCATTATCTGTGACACTCAGCCCAACACATCCTATTTCCACAAACTCCTGATTAGCTGCCTTTTAGGGCATACTTGTTAGGGACCAATGGGTCTATTAATTCCCCTCCCTCCTTAACCAGGTGGCCCGGAAAACATCTGGGGAACATCCAGTACCTACAAAAGAGCAGAAACGAACTCAGTAAACCATTAGACATAAAACCCACCACATTACCTTACCTTTCCTCGTGTGACTGTCCCGCCCTTATCTGTTTGTTTCACTGGATCAGGATTCTGGTTCTGAGTATTAGAGTCACTGGCTGCCTCAGCAGAACTCGTTCCTGGCTGCATAGGAGGAGGGACCTGCACTACAACTGGCTCTGATTCGTCTGTGTCCTTATTCACCAATAGAACGTTGATGGGTCCACTCTGGCTCTTCAAGTATACCTGGTAATTTTTCTTGAACCCTGGACCCTTGTAACGAAAAGATAATGATAGAAAAAATTTAATTTATTCTGTGCCATCTCCTCAATGTAGGTTGGTTACAGTGCTGCCTTTAAGTGTATCATGTGGTGAGACTCTAATCTCCTTCCCAGCAACACTGCACATGGAATGATCAAAAATTGCACAGTGCCTTGTCTGGTACTGACAGAGTTAGAAGAAGACTAATGAGCTGTGGTAGTGGCTAGATGCTCTGCCCAAAAGTCTTGGGTCTAAATCTGCTGAAGGTGGATTTTTTTTTTTTAATGACCTTGGCTCCCAGTCTGACCTAGCCTAACACTGGTACCAAGTGATGCTCTGAGAAGTAAGAGCGGCTGGAGTGATGTTAACCACATTACCTAACGAATGCTGACTGGACTACCAAAATATGAGTCTAGTGACTCAAACCCAATGTGCCAATAGCAATATAAATGTCCTTTACTTTTTAGCTAACCCTGTCTTCGTTAAAAAAAAGGCTACATTTTCCTATAAGGCTTAGAGACAGAAGTCACAGCAAGAGTCACCCAATACATATTTGTTTTAGGCTCCAGAGAATGCTTGCCATTTAATGTTTCGCTCAGTTCTTGTTTACTGATTACACCCCATATGTCTTTATACGAGGGGAAGTCAATAGGTAAGTCACAAATGGTTGTTTAAAAAAAAAAATAAAGAGGATAACAATTTGAAAACCGTTTATTTTTACAAACAGCGTCCCTTTATTTTTCAACATAATTTCTACCAACATTGATGCACTTGTCCTATCATTTAATCAGTCCTCTCAAACTTGCTGTGTGCTCTGCTTTCTAAACCACATTTTCACTTCACATTCAACTTCTGCATCATTCAGAAAATGTCTCCCGCCAATGTGGGTTTTCAGTGGACCAAAAAGTTGGAAATCGCTAGGGGCTAAGTCGGGGCTGTAAGGGGGATGTGTCAGAAGTTCCGACTCTAGATGGTTAATTTTCTCCTAAGTTAACTAAGCCACATGTGGTCTGGCATTGCCATGAAAGAGCAGCCCTCCTCTAGTCTGCAGGCCTTCATAAAAAAATTTTAGTGTCACTGAGAATATTTTTTTTACCCGGCTATGCAGCACTTTACAGAATGAACATTTGTCAGCATAAATAGGAAGCATTTTCTTATGAATGTCCTTTACAGGCTGCCCTTTTGCCACCAAAAAAATGCACAACTGCAAGTTGTTCTTTATGGGTACACTCCGTAAGCAGGCGCTATTTTGTTTCTGTGTTGCGAATGCAACACCTAGCGCTACCTAACAGAAGATGACATGAAGTGTGATGTTGCTGTCACCTTTAGAAACCATCAAATACCTTTTGCTGCCATCCCATAACCATTTGTGACTTACTTATTGACTTCCCCTCGTATGTGTGTGTACACACACACACACACATATATATACACACACACATTAAAATATGTACAAATATATATATATCTGTTGGTGTGGGGTGTTATTTTATTTTGCAAGACACATTTTAAAACTATTCAGTTTCAAATTTTTGCAATATTTTGCCTTTTTTTAATTTTTCAATTTGCACAATATTCTCTTTTGAAGAAAACACTGAGCACAGTATACTCACAATTTCTGGAACAGGCACCTCTAGTTGTGTACCAGATGGTGCCTGGATGGCTAAAAGTGTGTCACCCTTGAAACAATGACAGATGTCTTCATGAGTCACATATGCCAGCCTGCAAGAAGTAAAGGCTGTCTTCAGAACCATAGCTGTTACTAATAAAACCAATATCATGTCCAATGAAACCAATATCATGTCCAATGAAACCAATATCATGTCCAATGAAACCAATATCATGCCCAATGAAACCAATATCATGTCCAATGAAACCAATATCCACATCCAATGAAACCAATATCCACATCCAATGAAACCAATATCATGTCCAATGAAACCAATATCATGTCCAATGAAACCAATATCATGTCCAATGAAACCAATATCATGCCCAATGAAACCAATATCATGTCCAATGAAACCAATATCCACATCCAATGAAACCAATATCCACATCCAATGAAACCAATATCCACATCCAATGAAACCAATATCATGTCCAATGAAACCAATATCATGTCCAATAAAACCAATATCATGTCCAATGAAACCAATATCCACGTCCAATGAAACCAATATCATGTCCAATGAAACCAATATCCACATCCAATGAAACAAACATCATGTCCAATGAAAACTATATCATGTCCAATGAAACCAGTATCTAGCCAATGAAACCAATATCCACGTCCAATGAAACCAACATCATGTCTAATGAAACCAATATCATATCTTATGAAACCAACATCATGTCTAATGAAATCAATATCATGTGCAAAAAAAAAACACCAATATCCATGTCCAATGAAACCAGTATCACGTCCAATGAAACCAATATCATGTCCAATGAAACCATTCTCATGTCCAATAAAACCAATATTATGTCCAATGAAACCAATATCCACGTCCAATGAAACCAATATCATGTCCAATGAAACCAATATTATGTCCAATGAAACCAATATCATGTCCAATGAAACCAATATCATGTCCAATGAAACCAATATCATGTCCAATGAAACCAATATCATGTCCAATGAAACCAATATCATGTCCAATGAAACCAATATCATGTCCAATAAAACTAACATCATGTCCAATGAAACCAATATCATATCCAATGAAACCAATATCATGTCCAATGAAACCATTCTCATGTCTAATGAAACCAATATCATGTCTAATGAAACCAATATCATGTCCAATGAAACCATTCTCATGTCCAATGAAACCAATATCATGTCCAATGAAACCAATATCATGTCTAATGAAACCAATATCCACATCCAATGAAACTAATATCCACATCAAATGAAACCAATAACATGTCTAATGAAACCAATATCATGTCCAATGAAACCAAAATCATGACCAATGTAACCAATATCAGGAGTGCGGACCCCCCCAAAAAAACTGGGACCTAGCCCTCTTACAAATCTGAGATGTGACAAGGGATATTCTTCTTCCTACTCTTCACTTCCTCCAGTTACTTTCTGCTTTGTCTTTCACTTGCTCTGTGTCCATTGTATTTCTTTAGCTTGGCTCTCTGTTACAGTTGGTATCAGGAAACTTTTAACAGGTGGCCAAACCATCTAATTTTTTGCTCTTTAGTTCTTTAGGTACTTTTTTTTTTCTGGCACTAAAAGAGTTAATAAACTGTATGGCTGGTTTCAGTCATAGCCTTCTTCTAATTTTGAAAAGGCGTACTTTATTTTTTTTATTTTTGTATTTTTCAATATTTCCAATATAATTCTTTAAGGCTAGGAAAGGTGCTCTTTACTTGTTTTTGTTTTCTATTTTTCTATATTCCCAAAATGCCTCAAACTGGGAAAGCGGGTTCTTTACCACTTTGTTTTAACTCATCTATAACTAATTACTAATTACTACTGATAGTTACCTGGTGTTTGAAACCTCATCTGTAACATTCTTTATGCTCTGCTGCACCCACTCCTTGTGCTTATCAATCTCCAACTCCTGCTCTTTTAGATCAGCCAGATCATTCTTCAGGGTGATCAGTCTCTCTGAGATATCCCTTGAATTGCTGCCTGGTCCCGAACCTCTTGAAAAACATGTTAAAATATTTAAATCATACAGCTATAAAATCTGGCAAGGGTTGTACTTCATCAACATAAATTATTTCAAGTATAAGTTCTAAAACATAAATTCTTCTTTTTCTTAGCATGCACTGGCTGTAAACTCCAGTGGAAAGGTCTGGTTATTTGTCCGCTTCTGGACTCTTAGCTTGTTCCAAAACTTGTTCTGCATGCCTAACAGTTTTACAGATCTGGCTTTTTTGTATGCAGATGTACTCCGACTGGAAAAAAAAAAGCACCTAACTAATTGTCTCTTACAACATGCTTATTGGGGGGGGGGGGGGGTGAGTCTATTCTTTTGTTCCCCTACAATTGGGCCCCTAGAATCCCCCACAGCGGAATCAACGGCAATAATCTGGAAAAAGTCAGGAGACAGCGGATGCCTTGTGTTGCTGCTGTGCTGCGATATTTGTGCCTTTCAACCCAACATATCTGATTTTAGCTAACCTTTAATCAGTCACCTATTAAGACATGCTTGTGAAGGGACTGTGGGTCCATTCTTTTTTGTTTAAACCCCTAATTGGGATCCAGGAACCCAAAAGGAAAAGTGCTTAAATCAAAATTAATACAACATGAACAAAACAGTGATTAACATTTTTTTTTTAAATTTCTTAACAAGAAACACTTACTTCCACTGTATACTGTTCTTGGATTTTTTCTCAATGAGACCTATGCCCTCTAGAACATTGGTGATGTCGTAGATCCTGCGCTTCTGTCTAACTGCCAGCTGATCTGCTGCCTGCAGAAGTCATCATCAAATCATGGTTATTCAACTTACCACACTCTAATATGGGAGCCCCTGTGACATGAGAGTCCCTGTGGAACATGAGAGTTCCTGTGGGACATGGGAGCCACTGTGACATGGGAGTCACTGTGACATGGAAGCTACTGTGATTTGGGCTGTGACATGGAAGCCACTGTAACATGGAAGCCACTGTAACATGGAAGCCACTGTAACATGGAAGCCACTGTAACATGGGAGCCACTGTAACATGGGAGAAACTGTAACATGGGAGCCACTGTGATTTGGGCTGTAACATGAGAGCCCCTGTGACATGGAAGTGACTGTGACATGGAAGCCACTGAGATATGAGAGCCACTGAGATATGGAAGCTACTGTGATTTGGGCTGTGACATGGGAGCCACTGTGACATGGAAGTGACTGACATGGGAGCCACTGTGACATGGGAGCCACTATGACATGGGAGTCACTGTGTCATGGGAGCCACTGATATGTGGGAGTTACTGTGACATGGGAGTCACTGTGACATGGGAGTCACTGTGACATGGGAGCCACTGTGACATGGAAGCCACTAAGATATGGATGCCACTGTGACATGGGAGCCACCGAGATATGGAAGCCACTGACATGGGAGCCACTGTAACATGGAAGCCACTGTAACATGGGACCCACTGTAACATGGGAGCCACTGAGATATGGGAGCCACTGTGACATGGGAGTCACTAACACGGGAGCCACTGTGACATATGAGTCACTGTGACATGGGAGCCACTGTGACATGGGAGCCACTGTGATATGGAAGTCAGGGAAGCACAGTGACTACATGCTTGCCTGCCAGCCTGAAGGTCCTGGTTCAAATCAACATTAGACAATTTTTTAATAATTGACCTAGGAATCCTAGCCTGGCCTATTCTTTTTTTTCTTCCCTAATTGATACATCTTCCATCAGATGTTATCCATGTGCCTAGATGTCCCAATGTGTGCATGCACTTGTCCTAAAAAAAAAGCCTTTGACGTTTATTTAACATTTAGCCACTGTTCTTTTCTTGGATATTACCATTCTGTTTTCCCCATTATTCAAGCTAAGGCCTATGTTATTACTTTCTACATATTCATTTCTATCAATCCCTGTAACTCATCATTAATTTTAAATATTTTATATTGATTTCTTTCAGACATTTATGTTGTATGCCATTATTTGAAATAGTAATCATGTCTATACCCTCTAGGTGTTGATGAGGACGGGTACTTTTTGGGGAGTATTTTGATAAATTCATCATATTATGCCTACACTCTACTGGTACCAAAGAACTTATGGCGTGGTTTAATTTATAATAATCTAACCGTCCTCTGGTACCTATAGAGTTAAAATGGTAGATTGATTCCTATTGAATTTTTGTCTTTCAGATGTGTTGACTTGATTTGTTGTTGCAATGAGCAACAGAGTTAACGACTAGCGTCACAGAAAAAGATCATAGAGGGAGGGTTTAGCCACTAGGAAAAAATCATGTTTGGATATTTCATTCAACAACAACAACAAAAAGGGGTTGGGGGCTTAATTTACTGTGGAAGCCAGATTTTTAGTGTGCTCTGATTAAAAACTAGGGTTGAGATTAAAAGATAAGGGAATTAAACACACCATGCACTGAATGGGATCCAAAGAGTTTATATAACAACAGTTTGGGCAGACACAGGTATTAAGACCTTACCATTTATACTAACAACTTACTGGCTTAACTATTCTTAAAAAAAATCAAACAGCAACCACACTATAAAATGTGCCCCAATTTGCTAGAAAGCAGTACTAGACAATTAACAGGCACCAACCCTCCTTCCTTTATTTCAACGGTAAAGGAAGTATACATTTTAACACAACAGTTACTACACACATTAGTTAGTTAGTTAGTTAGTCTTTCCTCTTGTGTCGAGTGTGGCACATAGGGCAGAGGTCATGACTCTCACTGTCCGGTTCTGACCTGTTGTATCACAGAAGGTAAGAATTGGTCATTTCAAATAATACCAATATTGGCAATATAAATTAAAAAAACATGACTAAATCAATCTGTTTAAGAGACATAAAATAACAAAAATGGGCTTTTTTAAATTGTGGTACGTAAAAGTCCTGACACCTTTTTTAAAGCATTATTTTGCACTTATGGTTTGATAGATTTATATAATGTGCTGATAAAAGCTCTCTGGTTGCAACGTTCACCTGTCATTTGTGTTTGTGGTTTTAACGTTCACCTGTCATTTGTGTTTGTGGTTTTAACGTTCACCTGTCATTTGTGGTTTTGTGAGGTTGGCTGGTCCTTTTTTTTTTGGTTTAACATCTTTTTTTTTAATTTGTTTAAAAGCTTCACTATAGCTCACTACTTTCACCTCAATCATCTCCTGCTACTATCTGTTTGTGCCCATGTAAATTGTACAGTATTTAGCACTATTTTTGTTTGTCTGTCCATGTGGTTTTGTAGATTTATGGTACTGATGAAGGCTCACTAGTCGCAACGTTCCCTTGCTATCGTTTGTGTTTGTGAGTAATAATAAATAATAATAATATTAAACTGTGAGGCTGACAGTAGGTCTAAATTTCGTTTTGATATGATTTAAATCTCTATGTGACATACAACATCAACAACGTCAAATCAGGATGGTGATGAAAGAAAGATATAAAACCGAACAAAAAGTATATCAGCGAGCTTCAACATATAACAAACACAAACAAAACGTGACCGCTGCGGCTATGGAGCTTCATCAGCACATACATAAATAAATTAGACATACAAACAGGATGGTGACTTTAGGTTAAGTATTAAGAGAATATATTTTGGCTTAATCTTCCGTTCCCCTAACACAACAGTAAATCAAGTAATCAAGCGCACATTTAATAATATAACTGTGGTACAAACAGCACACTGGCAGCGGCAGCACAGTTCAAACTCACAATTTTGAGATCTAAAACGCCATCCTTGGCTTCTTGTAACAAGCTAACGAACTTCGTCGTCAGCAGACCTAAACTCTTTTCATGCCGGCTGCTGGTTGAAGTGTCGTGTAAGTCAGACAGACTTTTAGAAACTTTCACAATCTCTAAACTTTGCACGGTGGTCTGCATTTTGTAGATAATCCGAAGCAGATTTGTTGTTTTCCACCGACATACAAGACGTCTGCTCGATCCGTCTCATACTGGGCTCTATTTTGAAGTATGTCGCTCGCTAGGGGTTATGGGTAGTTTACAAACTACAATTTCCGGCTGTGAGGAAACCTGTAAGGAAACAATCTGGAAATAAAGTATACCATGCTCTTCAACATTTGCTAAAGTCAAAGTGTCTGTCTCGCAACACCAAGATCAAAATATTTAAAACGTTGATAAGGCCAGTCGTTTTATATGGCTCTGAAACTTGGAGCACAACTAAAAGAGATGAAGCCTTATGACAGGTTTTTGCAAACGGAGCTTAGGCGAATCTTTGGACCCATCAAAGATGCAAACAGCAGGGAATGGAGAATGAAAAGCAATAACGAAATTCATAATCTGCTTAAAACACCACTGATCACCAGCATCATGAGAGCTAATAGACTGAAATGGTTGGAGCATATTGAAAGAATTTCAGATGACAGAGAAGTAAAAACCGTGTACACAAGGGAGATGAATGGTCGTAGACAATGAGGCAGACCAAGAAAAACATATAATCTCCACACAGACCTGCAAACACTTGGTGTCACCAACTGAAAAGAGAATGCCTGCCATAGAGATTATTGGAGGGGGGTGATATCTGCAGCAATGAACATCAAGGGCTGGGAATGCTAGAGAAGAAGAAGGAAACGTGGAGTACAACTAAGAGAGGAAAGCCTTATTACAATTCCTTGAGAAGAGGGTCTAACCACGAATCTATTAATGGAGAATGGAGGGTCTTCTAAGTCTTCACTAATTACTGACATCACGAGGGCTATGAACTATGAATGAGTTAAGATTTTACATATCTACGCTCGGGACCTTCCCACGCGTTATCCGTCTCCTTCCTCAGTATCCAACAAGGAGTCGATATGCTAATAATGCCTGTTGCAAGCTGAGCAAAAGTTCTCCTACGTTTTCTCCTAAGTGTTAAATATCTTCCATATCCTCTGCTCACCCACCCCACCCCAACCGCCGAATTAGTCTGTTAATGTATGGGAGCTCGGTATGTTCTGTTCCACTGTCCGTGAAAGCATGATTTACAACAATATTTTTATCAACCTTAACAAAAGCAACAACAAAAATAAAATACAGTGGTTTAAAAAAAGGCGTCGGCTCTGTGGCTAAGTCGATGCGAACGCTTCGTAATGCCGGGATGCCGGGTTCGATCCCAACTGTGGGCCATGCGCCTTGCGTTGGTTTCGACAGTGGTATCAAGAAAGCCGACCGTCCAGGAGGCAATGTCAAACTACTGGACGTAAATTTGCCTAGAAAAACCACACAACAGCAAGGGGCTGTTGGGGTTGTTTCTGCAACGTCCTGTAAAAGATACGCAACTAACCTTAAGAAAGGCCGGGGGGACAGATACCGTAATTTCACCAATTTGTATGTTGAATTAAGAGTCGACATAACAGCACTCGGGACACTCCCATAAGTGCTCAGTCTCCATCTTCAGCAGCAAGCGAAGAGTTCCAATTCTGATTGTGCCAGTAACTGTCTGATTGTATATCCGTCTCATCTTTCCCCTGAGTGTTGAGCGTTGGCCAGATTCCATGGTAACTCCTTGCAGCGCCATTCTCCTCAGACTAATGATTCATCTGCGCCTCCATACTATTTGCCCGTTCCCAAAGGGCCCTCACAATATCTAACTTGTCATACATCAGTTCGCCCCCAAGTGGTGCAGAGCCAGCCAGTCTATCTGCCTGTTCATTTCCCAACACACCGGCATCACATGAAGAAAATATCCAAAGGATGCTCACTACCCAGGACCTCTGAAGTGATGTTTGCCACTCTGCACGATGCATGCCTGTTTTCACCTTTCTCTTTGAGGTTTAAACTTGAAGGTTTCACCTTTCTCAGCATGCCCTGTGAGTGACCAACATGTATAAGAAAGTACAACAAAAGTGGAGGCAGAAAAGGACAGGGGCGTAAGGAAAACGGGAGCCATTCATAGTCTTTGTTGGCGGTGTTTGTATTCTGTTGGTGACACGGTATAAACATTTTATATTTACACAGGTGCTTACGATGATGTATGGTTTAAACATAAAACCTCATTTCACCAACATCTGACAGACAGGAGGAGGCAGAAAAGGGCCTGGGAGGGAAGGAGGTAACCATTCATTTTTAGTTGATGTTGGTGATATGTGTTGGATGAGTCTAAAAGTACCAGCGGTATTCACTTGATCGCAGAATGCTTTCACCACGTCCATTTTATCATAAAGTAGCTTACTATACAGAGGAGCAGCAGCAGCCAATCTGTCAGCCTGTTTCTACCCCCGCACACCCGTATGCCCTGGACAGAAAATCTACGATATACGATATATATAAGATCAGTCTTATCAAGCGATGCAAGTCACTCTATGGCAGAACAAAATGGAGCTTTTTTATGTCATGCATGAGGATGCAGGTGGAGGCAGTCACTGCAGCTCTGAATTGGAAGGCATAAAATCAAAGTTACCAGAGAAATTGTTGTGTCTGCTTCTTAGTCGACACTGCGGAAGGTTCAAAATGGACTAATGTGGCATGAGTAGATAACCATGCATTAGTACGCCAACATTGCATGGAATCACGGGGATATACTGTCCGGTATATGCAGGAGTGCGAGGGAATGAAAAAGCGGTTTTTCTGCCCACAAAAGCGAAAGCTACGGGAACACTTGTACTGGACAATGGATATATTCTGAACGACTGCTGACAGAAGACACGAGATTAGATGAAATAACATGAGTAACAATATGTGAACGAGGAATTAAGTGTAGATCCGACAGGGAGGGACGGATGAGAGGAAGAGATTGACGTGCGTATAACCAGTGTGCTACGAAAAACCGTTAGCATCTTCACTTTATGACATTTGCTGTGGAAGACGGAGCGTCTGTGGGTATGCCCGGTGTACTATGATGTCGTTCCTTAAATTAGTAAATTAGCAAGCCACTTTACGCGTAGAAGACATAAGGCCTAAGATGCTGCATTGACCGGGGAAGATAAGAGAATCGACATCACAGCACATAGGACATTTGTGTAAGCGTTCCCTCCCTTCCCATATTCAGCATCAGGCGCAAAGTTCTGATTCCGATGGCACCAGTTAGTCTGATGTTATATCCGTTTCGCCTCTTCCTTGACTGCTGGGCGTCGGCTATATCCCCTGGTCACTCCTCCCATCACCATTCTTTTCATACCGTGATGATCTATTTGTGCCAACGCAGTCTACCGGCTCCCAAAAGACTCTTATAGCTAGCTGATCATGCATCAATTCACCGCCAAGTGGTGCGGAATCAACCCGTCTACTCAACCTGTTCGTTTTCCAACACACCGGTATGACCTGGAGAAAATATCAAAAGAGCGCCAGCTAACCGAGACCAATGAAGAGATTCTTACCACTCTGCACAGAGCATGCCTACCTACAATCTACACCTTTGTCAACATGCTTTGGGAATCAGTTACAATTACCACATGTGTACACAGTTGATCTCAAGCCAGCAGGAGGTTACACTCACTTCCTCCACCTCCATTCTCATACTAGGTGTTCTGGTATCATTTGCCAGGCTTTGTTGCACTAAACGACATCCATTCGTTTTTTATTTGAACCCCCCCCCCCCCCCCCCCGCAATTCGTCTGCCTCTCAACACAGAGCCATCTGCATAGATAATCACATCACCTGTGCAAGAATTGTCTTGAATCATGTGTTGAACTTCTGATTCTGCAGCGCCCGCCAGTCAGTGCCTGCATTCACGACCTGGTATAATTAGAACCCTACATATGTCTGATTGTTGCTAGAACACCTTGACCCACTCCTCTCCTCGTGCAGTATTATCGAGCCTGCACACATACCAAATTGTATCTTCAGCTTGCGTCATCAAAGATCTTTCTCTTAACAGTTGATGACCCGTCTATCTAGGGTTTCATGTAGGAAGTGCTTCTTGTCCGTGGCTACTGTAATACTTTGCTTGCATCACCTTTACTCTATCTCCAATAGTGAGCAGTGCAAATATACTCGTATATCACACATATAAACTATTTTTAAAAATGGGTACACAAAAGAGATGAATGGGGGTAGACCAAGACTGCGAAGAGATAACATACAGGTAGATCTACACACACTTAGAAGGCCAATCATAGAAATTAATGAAGGCGGGTGATTTCTGCAGCAATGAATCTCGAGGGCTCAAAATGCTGAAGAAGGAGAAGGAGGAGGAGGAGAAGAAGGATAAAAACAAAAAGCAAAAGAAGAATTCCTCCTTTCTATGTCCAGCCAGCCTAAAATGGGTACCAAATATTGTCATGGGAGGTAAAGGCGAACATCGTGATGTTAAATTACATAACCCACCGAATGCGAACAGATTTATAAAAATATGGGTAAAAATTAATGTTTCAACGGTGAGAATAGGGTCCTTTACTTTTTATTTATTTTTTTGCGTTAATTTCGACTTATGTTAGATTAAGCTGAGACAAATTTAAAACGCAAGCACCGAAGAAAGACTGAAGCTAGTGTTACAATTGTTAGAACAAAATATTTTTGTCTAAAAAGTGACTTTTATATTCCTTTTTATGTTAATTTTGACTTATCTTAGCTAAAGCTGCAAAACATTTAAAATATAACCACTTCGAAGAAAGGCGGGGACTGAAGCCAGTGATGCAGTTGATGCAAGAAATTATGCTTGTCTGAAAAAGTGACTTTTTTTATTCCATTTTGCGTTTCGACTTCTGTTAGATTATGCTGAAAGGCATATTTAAAATGTCTCCTAGCAAGACATCAACTAGTTACTAAGGGATACGTCATTTGGGTGATTTTATGTATTCAAATGGTTTGTTTGATTTATTTATGTGCTGTGAGGAGTTACCAGGGGATCTTGCCAACGCTGAACATACAGGGGAAGGATAAGGTGGACATACAAACAGACGGTTACTTGTACCATCGGAATTGGAACTCTTCACTTGTTGCTGAAG